TGTGTGTGTGGGGGGGGGGGGGGGGGCAGCCTTTTTGGCAGGCATGCCACAAATTAGCCATGAACCATCCCCAGGCCACTACAAACCCCTTCCCCTGCCCAATCTGCTGCTCTGCTTTCTGCTCTCCTATACTCTGTTCCTGACCCACTATTCTGATTTCTTCTTCCTTCCTTGTGCTCTGTACCTGCTTTGCTGCTTTGCTTCCTGCCCTGTCTGCCACTGTGCTGTGTGCCCTCATCCCTGATCTACTACATGTCACACAAATAAGCTGCCCGTGAAAGTGATGCTTGGGATATCAATGTACAATTTATGGATTCTGAGTGGAGGTAGGACATGGCTGTCTCATTGAATGACTCAGCTGATGTAGTGTCAGCCATCAACTGTCAGGCTACATCATGTCTCATGAGACCAGGAATGATGGACATTTATTAAGTTTTGATGGGAGTTCCTGGGAACAATGGGATGGCTGAAGCCTATAGAAACCAGTCCACTCTGCTAAGATGGGTTTGAACAATGGAGTTACTAAAGAACCTGGACAGGGGACTCAGGAAGACATAGGAAGTTTAGGCTGGGAAAGGGAGGGGGCAGGGCATGCTTTTCTAGCAGACAGACCAGCCAAGGAAGAGGAAACTGGGCTGAGAAGGAAAGAGTGAGAGAAGCCAGTGAAAGGGCCAGCACTGTTTACTCTGACCATGGGAAGCTTAAGAGCACAATTTTGTTGGGAACCAGATCCTGAAGCCTGGTGATGCTGCCACTAAGAATGCCCTACCAGGGCAGATTCACATGAAAATAGGCAAGACTTTATCAAAATGACCATTCTTAAAATCATGGGTCTGGATGGGTCGGTCATCTCATCCATCCCTATACACAGAGGCAGGTTTTGCTGCATCTAAATCAGTCCTGATGGATGCCTATCCAGCATCTTAAAACCATGCACTGAAGGAGATCCTACAATTGCTGTAGGTAGTTTAACTGCACTGACATTTGGGAATTTTCCTCTGAGGTTTAACTTGAATCTGCCTCCTGTAGTTTAAAGCTATTGCTTCCTGCCCAACTTTTAGCAGTTAGATAGGATAATTATACACCATCCTTTTTATGGCAACATTTTACATATTTGAAACTGTTATCACCTCACCCCTTCACCTGCCTTTCTTCCGATTAATTATTCTGAGCTCATTCAACCATTCCTCGCATGGCTTGGTTGCCATCACACCTGTTGCTCTCTTTTATATCTTCTCCAATTTCTCCACATCCTTCTTAAAATGTGGTGCCCAAAAATGGACACAATATTCTATTTAGTTCCAACTTAACACCAATAAGGATGTTAAGGAATATTACCTTACATATCTTGGATATGAGGTTTTTGCCAATGCAGTCCAAGGTGGTATATGCCTTTTTCACAAAAGCATCTCAGTGCTAACTCATAGTCATTTTGTGGTCCCCCACAACACCCAAATCCTCAGCTGTGCTCAGCTATCCTTCATTTTGTATCTGTTGAATTGGTTTGTCTGTTAGGTGAAGTACCTTACTTCTGTCCTTGTTGGATTTCATGTTATTGTTCATGACCTAATTCTCTGATTTATTGAGAGCATTTTGGATTTTCTATCCCACCCACATCTGTGTTGTCCGCAAATTTCATTACTGTATTCTCCAGTCATTTATTCAAATTGTTAATAAAAAGATTAATAGTATTGGACACGGAACATTTCCCTGGTGTTAGGGTAGGTTGTTATGTTTAATGGTTTGAAGTTGCACCTGCTTATAGTATTGTTTATATTTAGCTTTATTTAATTATTGCTTAAACTTTGTCCTTATTAACTTTTCATTTTTATTAGCCTGCTTTGAGTTGTTTTTGTAGATATCATAGTGCTCATTATACCTTTTCTTTTTTTATCACTGTGAGAAGTTTTTTTAACATAACATAGCAATGGCCTTGTTATCAGCTCCAATTAACTGAACTTGGCACTAACCAGTGAATAAGAGGATGAAAGGATTGGATATATTAATGAAAGGTGATAAGGGAGACCAATGGACAATGCCCAAAGTAAGACATCAGAAAAAGGCCAAATTAAGAGGTCTGCTTGTGATGGGTCTGTTAGACAAAGGAATATGCTGATGGGATAAAAGATGGATAGTATGCTGAACACCGAGAGACCAATCCACAAGCAAAGAGTCATCAAAGGAGTGAAGTTGAAGAAAAGCATAAAAGGGGGGAACAAGAAAGTTTGTCATCATTGTTGTCATAAATCCAGCCTTCTACACCTGTCTGGACCACCCCAGCCCATGATGTACCCTTTGCTTCCAGGAACTGAGTGGTTGCCTTTTCTGAAGAGCAATGTAACATCTGGGATTGGGTGAGATTATTGTATTTAATGTGTTTTCTCTCTCTGAATATAGAAACTGCTAAGATAATACTTGTTGTACTAATAAAGTTAGATTTTGACTTTAAGACACTGAGTTGTCTGCGTTCATATTTCATGTTCCATTTAAGGGTTAATTGTGTTTTAATGATCCCTTAGTACTATCTGGGAGACAGGGGTGCTAACAGTGGGATCCCACTTAATGCTTCCTTCCAGTTTGATATTGATACATTCATTACTACTTGCTTCTTGCGGTCTTTCAATCAGTTATGTAGTCACCATATGGCAGTTCTTTCTTTTCCAGTTTACTCTTGAGAATATCTTGTAGCACTGTGTTGAAGCCTTTCTACCAGAAACCCAAGAACGATGCTCATTCAAAGAGGGAATGGTTTCATGCCATCTGACTTATGTCCAACCCAGACTAACTTTTGTAACTCAGATTTCAAATGCTCTGAACAAACTATAGACCAAGAATTAACCCCATCAATTACTGGATGGTAAATCTGAATAAATTCAATAGAATCACAATGTGGTCACAGACAATTCACCAAAAGAAATAACAGTAAATATTTGAATCAACTATTACCAGCTATTTCCTCAGCTCTATTCATATTATCATATCCTGCTGGAAACAGGTTTGTTTGTGTGGAAACAAGGGATTGTTGCTAGGGGAGCAAGCGATCTTGAATGTTCATCCTGACTATGTAGTTTGGGCTATCTGGATGAAGCATGCCTGGGCTTTTCTGGTTAAAATTACCCTCTCTGCAGAAGGATGCTGTCACAGGGGTGAATTTTGCCTGAGAGATAACAAGAATCAGCTTTCAACTCAGCACAGTGTAAAAGCATCTCACTATCCTATTTTAAGTGTAAAAGCAACCAGTTCATTAGGGAAGTTGCTCTCTTGAGTTCCTTTTATGTAGTTTCTATAGTTCAAAGCTATATGCACTGCTAAAATATACATCCTTTCTTTCATCATGGGATTGTTCCTTCTTTCTTTTCCCTTTTTTTAACCCATTCCAAGCAGGGTGCTGTCTCAGGTGAAATTTCTGGCAGAATGTGCAGAAAAGGACTAAAGTTGTAGGGAATCCAAAGCCTCAGAAGCTTCTTTTGTAGTAATAACACCAAGGACAGCTAAGCCACTAGCTAAAAGTCAGACATATGTTTTATTTGTTTACAAAAATAAATTACTCTAAAACCCAAAGTAAATATTAAGTCACCTAAGACCTTGGAGTGACTTAAGCAGCCAGTGGAATGAAAATAGCATCTTGCCACTAACAATATGTCTGTATTTGGATTCTAAATTCTGATTACATGGATTTTTTTTTAAAGAAAATAAATAACAGTTTGCTGAACCATATGGAGGATATAAGCACCTTTAGAAAACAGGAGCAGAGAGAATCTGATTTCAATCAATCTGGAAATATTTATGTTCTGTCAGAATATTGCTATTGGTTTCTGATCTACCATGTTTCTGTTTAAACTTTCTCAATGCTCAGATATAGGGACAAAGTAAAAATGCATCAGTCATCCAGATTTACAATTTTTGTGCCCAGTTTGCACACACAGAGTTAGTCTTCTCAGGGAAGATACTGGGAAATACTGCTCCATTGTGTAAAAAGACACACAGGCATAAGGGGGAGCTGACACAACACAAGCTTCTCATGAAAACTGGGACAAAGGTATTACAAAGTGTACAACTAAGATAAGCCTGCATGTCATTACCATGACCATTAGGAGTGCATCTTTAACAGATAATCTACCTATTTTCCATCAGCAGAAGAGGGGCACAAAGGAGATCATTACATCCGAGCCTCTCTTGCTACAGTGAGAGGTATCACACTCTAGCAAACTCCTTTCTGTGATGGTCCTTAGGTTAGCGCTTTTGTTCACCTTTTGACTTTGTCTTTTTCCTCCAGCTAACTCCTGATCTCCTTCCCTGGAACCAGCAACTACCATACTTCATAATCACAGACGCCATATCCGACTATGTTGCTTTTATACTCTCCTGTGGTTCCTATGGAGTAAAAATTGCTTAAATCTTCCCTACCACAGAGCTTCTTATATGTAGAGATTGCTGCTGGGGCCAGAACAGAACTGGAGTGAGCTAAAAGAATTGAAAAGCTGTAGCTGTTTTCTCTCTTTCTAATGCACTGGGTAGATCATGACTGTAGTAGAGAAACTGGCTCACTGCTATTCAGGTCTGGCCATAACACAGGATCACAAACAAACCAGCACTATAAAAAGCAAGCAAGTCAACTGCCCAATGCAGTGGGACTATACTGGGGTCAGAAAACAGATGCATCATTGATTCACTGTCACTCTTCCATATGTTATGAGAAATCGACTGTCACTATGTCAGCCCATTTTCAGAAAAAAATTTCCTTGAACTTTTGTTCCTCAGGGGGTTTAAAATGGAGGATGTTTTTTTTTTAAAGTAGACTTTCTCCCTCTTTTTATCATGTAGCATCCCACAGATCTAACTAAGAATGCATCAGAAGGGCCCCATATTGCCTGGGTCATAAGTTACTTCATGTTTATCAGCTTATCTGCAAGAGAAGGTCTCCTTACTAGAGCTGGTTCCGGTAATCTGTTCTTCACTCTGGTTGGGTTCAGATGTTCCCTCTGGTCACATACAATGCACAGCATTGATTAGGTGCAGCTACAGACGTCCTGGGCGTCCGTAGCTGACATTTGCCGGTACTAACATTAGGTTATAATTATAGAGGTGGAGGAGCATCATGTTACTCACAATTATTGAAGTTTCATTTTGTAGCACTCAGAATGTTGCCTCTAATAAAATTAGGAGCCAATGAAATGCATGCAAAGGCAAGGAACACTACTTAGCTGGAAGAGATACAACAACCATTCATAGTCAGGTGGCATATGCTTCCAGCACCTCCATATCCCACACTGAAATTTTGAAAGGGGCCTTTGTCTTAAAGACTGAACTTGGGAAGGGTAACAGAAACCTTCTGAAAGCAGTAAGAATCTTAAGGACAACCCTGGTTACAATACTACAGCAGAGAATATAACTGAATGTGCAAAGCAACTCATGGTTTACCTGCATTAGAAGCCGAAGAGGTTTTCCAGTCTTCTGTTCAAGGACTCTGAACTTCACACCAGCTGAAAACAAAAGCAACGAAACAACCTGTGATGGAAGAGAACAACCCCCACTCTCTTCTCAGCACAATTATTGAGTGGAGATTTTCTAAAAATGACACAAGAAATCAAGCATGGGAGTTAGTCGACAAGAACCAAAATGACAAAGGAATTGCAAGGATCTTTATTAGTCCCTAACATTCTGTCAAAACGGGGGGAGGCCCATCCTCTGCTATCAAGGGACAGAAAACTCTCTGCTACTAATCACTTTTCACATGGTTGCTCAGTACTGTAGCAATGAAGTTTAGCACCCGGGACAAAGCCTGAAGTGGCAGTCTGCCCTTGCCCTACATAGATCCGGGGGGGGGAAAGACACACACAGTGGCAGGAGCTGCCCTCCCTTTGTCCCCGTGCCCTCCTCCCAAGTAAGCCACTTGCAGCTCTGTCCTGCGCCCTGCCCTGGCTGGGCAGCATCTGTTGGCACCCCTTCGCTTTGGCACCTGGGGTGGTTGCCCCACTCGCCCCCACCTTGCTATGGCACTGTGGTTGCTGTTCATGTGCTAGACTCCCTTCTGCTTTTAGCTTAAGTGAGGGAAGGGCTGGGATGGTGGTTGACACAGAGGCATTTGAGTAAATTCAAAGCAATCAATGATTACTGATAAGAATTAATCCATTCAGGTATTTCAACACTGCTACCACCATCCAGTCTCTCACTTCTTTATCCCCTCCAAGCCTAACTAAGTTCCCTATGAAATCAAAGTTAAATGGGAAAGATTTTGGATTTGAGGTATGATATACTGTAAATAAACAACATTTTACTAATATTCTAAACTGGGAGAATGCTTTATATTTAGAGGGGCACAGACTCCCTTGATGATGCAAAATGCTACAGCAGAGTGAAAGTTCTTTAAAGAACTTTCCTCTACCAACCAGGATCATTTCAGTTTTGGCTGGGTTCAGCTCTATCCTGCCATCCAGTTATTTTTGTCAGTCATTGAAGAAAGCTGGAAAAAAGTGTTTATGTATGAGATAAGAGAGATGTAGAATGTCATCTGAATACTAAAGGTCATCTTGCAAGATCAGCTTCCCCAGCGGTTTTATACAGATAGTGAATATGAGGGGATAAGGTTGAGTCTTGTGGGCCTTGGCAAATCTAGGCTCTGGACTAGGAGAAAAAGGACCAGTTACTTGCAGGGACTTTCTGAGAGGAAGCAACTAATCATTTCAAGGCCTGTTCTTCACACAGGCAACTTCTTTGAGATAGGACAGCAACGATCAAAAAACATAAAATGCTGAAGAGAATTCCTGCAGGCCAAACAAGGATGTACTATCTAGGTGAAGATTGCCCACTTGAACAAGTACCATCTTCTACGAATTCTAGCCCCACAGTCTCTTACCACAAATACTACTAGTTAACGTTGTCTCTTAAGTGAAAATTTAAATTAAGATCCTAAGCCATTAACAAATATATGAAGGGCTTAAGTTACAAATACATCCATTTATAAATTAACACTAGTATTTGTAGACTGTTTGAGAGCTTTGAGCACTTAACTTTATATGAAGAGTAAAAATGCTCAGTAAGTTCCAGATCGTTATAACAGAAATATCCTAAACCATCTTCTCGATTAACCTGGCAAGATTAGAGTTCAGGGTTCTGTGCTCCCTGTGCTTCATTTATATCATTACTAACATAAGACAAATCAGAATATGCTTCTACTTCTTTGTTTGACTTTATGCAATGCGTTAATCATTATTTATATTCTAGTAAATGTTGGAGCCCCAGCAGGCTAGGTCAGTGGTTCTCAACTTCTTTAGACTCAAGGCACCGCTTGTTAGACTCAAGATACCTCTCAGAAAATGCCATTTCTTAGTTTTTACTCTTTTTTTATTACAGAAAAATAAAACCAACTCTTTTGTTGCAGAAGAACTCAGAAAGACGACAACAAGTCAGAATGTTTTTGACACTACAGATTCCTGGTTAAAATCTCTGAATTTATGTTGGGAATTGTGTAGGTGTTTGCACATCTCTCAGTGCTAATCTCAGAGCATCCTGGCCATGAGAATTACTAGGCTAGTTACAAAAAGTCATGGGCTAAATATAGACATTGGATTTATGATACATTATAACCGTACTAACATCTGATACCCCAGGTAACCTGTCTACTATTTACCAGCTATATTCTCAACACCAGGTCTACATTACCCTTCTCCCCATACTGGTCTCTCACCCATTAACTGGCTCAATTTACATTTTCACTGACAGGCTTTCTTGCATGCATACTGGCCTCTGGCTTCTATTCCATCCGGGAAGAGCACAGACCAACTGCAGACAGACACTTTCTCAGCCTGTCAAAGGGTGTTTGTACCTGAAAGCTTGCAAAAAAGAATTTTTCCAACTATTTTAAATGGTCTAATACAGTGGCCTCCAATTCTTTTAAGTAGGAGATCACCTTTGGCATTTAAAAGCAACCCAAGATGTACCATGCACTGCCGCCACCCCCCTGCCCAGCAGGTAGGGGTGGGGCAGATCGAGGCAGAGGGAGAAAAAATTATTTGGGAACTTGCCTCCCCAGCAGATAAGTCCCACCCGGTCAGGGCCCCACTCAACTTACCCCTGCTCCTGCCTCTGCGGCACTGTCCCTCACAGTAGGGGCCTTGATCTAGCCCCCACCCCTTCCTTCCCCCATGGACTGACCTGCAGGCTGGGGTGCATACGTTCATGCATATGGGCACTCAGCCCTCCACCCCAGCCTCAGATCAACTCCAAGAGGCTCTGAGATCTACCGCAAGAGGCTCCGAGATCTACCAGTGGAATGAGATCTACTGGTTGGTGACCACTGGTCTAATAAAAGATATCAGATTTACAAAAACAACCTAAGCTAGTTAAAGAATTACAAAGAGTTTGCAATAAAGAGAAAAGTTAACTAACTTGCTAGAAGTCAAACTCTAATGACTGAGCCAGGAACAGAGGCCAAGTTGCCTGAACCCTAGCGCAGTGCCTGATTTACTGCATTATACCATTCCAAAAGCAAAACTCTACATCCAGAACAAAACAGGCAGACCCCATTCCAGGATAACTTTTTCCAGTTGGCTGGCCTCTGCTTGGTGTACACAGCTCTTGGGTGGAGAACTACAGATCTGATATGTTTTCAAAATTTTATAAAAAACATATTATTCCACTTACATGTGGATGGACCATTATTCATCTATGCTTATTTAGACATCATGAATACAAGTGTTCTCTCACTTCAGAGTCTAAGCCAAGGAAATCAGAGGCCAGATGTCAGGACTGCACTGAACTGTACTTAAAAAGTGCACTAAACCCTTCCTGATAGGAAAGCAATACATACAAGGCATTGGAACCACTTTGATAATAGTTCCAGAACTAACTGATCAGGAACCTACAGCAAAAGAGCAATACTATTGGGACGATATGTTTTGCAGGTCATCACTCTGTAATTGGTAATAGAAAAGCAGCATCAAGGAAACAAATGAGTGGTGTGCAGTTTCATAGTTTCATAGTTGTTGGGGGCTGGAAGGGACCTTACAGATCATTGGGTTCAGCCTCCCTGGACATGTGCAGGAAAGATTTCTTGAAGGGATTTGACTTTTTCTTTTCTCTTCTCAGACAAAAAGTTCTTCTGACCTGAGTCAGAGATGATCTCTCAAAATGTCTTGCCTGAAGAGAAGGTCTGATGCATTTTCCTGTTTCCTCAGTTAGAAGACATCATGGTTGGTATTGCAGTGTTTTTTTTAAATCATTCACAGCAAGATTTCATTCTAATCAATTACCTGACATCTATTGGGACAGCTGTCTTTAGCTGGATTTCCTGGCATCCAAAGACAGTTCCTAAAAGGTTAAGTTCCTGCAAGCAAATGCATGGAGACCTGCTGAAGGCAGGCACTGAAAAGCAACATAATCTGTGGAATTCCTCATCTCTTCACACCCAAAACCTGGAATATTTCCAAAGAGACTAACAGACATAGCCGCTATCAGCTGCCTCAGGGTTCCTTCCAGTTCATGACTGGCCTTGACTTGGTGATAACCAAGATCTTTCACTCTATGTTTCTTGCATCTGGAATTCCCTGATTCACAGTCATACTGGAGCTTATGGTTTAGCCCTTCTTGATTTGCAACGGTTTATCTACAATTAATTTCAGCTAAACCCACTTCAGTATTACCCTTGATTCCAGTCCCAAAAATGGTTGTCAACCATGGCGTGGCGGAAAGTAATTCTGAAATGGTCACAGGCTAATCTGGAAAGAGGGAAGCTTATTTGTTACTTACCCAGAGTTCTCTGGTTCTGAAACTAAACTGGACATTTCAGCTCAGTTCTTTAATTAGTATAAATCAGCAAAGCTCCACAGAAGTTCACAAAGTTATGTCAATTTACACTGAAGACACAGCCCTTCTGAATATATGAATATAGTTCTGGGAAGGGGCCCCAGGCCATCAAGTCCAGTCCTTTGTGCTCTAGACAGACAATTCCCAGGGACTCCCCAAAATCACTACTTCAAACTTCATACACAACTAAAAAGTACAATAGAACTGAAACATCAAGAGCACCCTATAACACGCAATAGGTAAAAGCAGGGGAGATGAGGGCAGTGTCAATGCCCTGTCACTGCAATGACATTAATATATGATCGAAAGATCCTAGAAATAGGACTATGCCACATGCTATGGAGGAAAACAAAATTCCCCATGTTCCATGCCTGTAAGACTTAAGGAAAACATTCCTTTCTGATGCCAAATCTGAATGAAAACAAGATCTTCTAGCCAGGAACCCGTGTATTTTTAAGTCCCAGAAGGACCATCAGTGCCCTCCAGTCAAAAAGCCCTGGCCTAGCTGTGGCCAACATCCCAGTGCTTCAGAGGAACATAACCTCATACCTATTCCCTGCTCCCAAGCTAATAACATTAATGAAAGGAAAAAAAATCCTTTTTGGCCCCTACTGGTGATCAACAAAAGCCCTGAAGCATGGGATTATCTACATAATCCCTAACATACTACAAGAAACTTACCTCTGTATCCCAATTGAGGATTACAAATACATGATTCCACCTATAATTCTAACTAACTGTTGAGACAGGACTCCTTGTTTTCTCATACCACTCCTTCCATAAACTTTTCCAGGTCAGTCTTAGAGTGATTCAGGTTCTTTGCCTTACAACTTTGCTCAGAAAACCATTCCAAAACATTATTTCTCTGACAGTTAGAAACCTTCTTATAATTTCTGACCTACATGTATAGCTACCCATTTATGTATACCCATTTTGTAGCTCTTTTTTCTGTTCCTCCTCTTTCCTTAGTATTCATGCCATGAATGTACTTGTAAAGGGTGATCATATCCCCTTTCATCCTCTATTTTGTTAAACCAGAAAAGAACAGGTTCTCAAGGTGTTCTATCCTGTTTTCAAGCCAAGAACAGATGGCAAAAAATTAAAAATAAAAATTGCCCCACAATTTAGCAAAAACTTTGAATTCCAGAGGATTTGACGTTGCTAGCAGATCCTGTTAAGCTGACCCAGCAGGTAAAAACAGCTGACCCAATTTAGAAGTTGTCTGGGAGAACAATACTTTCTGCTTCAGTATGTTTTGCTATACTGCTTCTGATTCTGCTTTAGCATTACATTACTTTCCACTGACTTTATTATCCAGTATCATAAGATAACTGTTTAGTAGCACTGACAACTGCATAGCTTTTGTGTTGGGAACCTGAGTGTCTTGCAGGCATGAACAACTGGTGTCTCCCACGACTGGGGGGGCACCATGGTGGTGAGCAAGTGGAGACTGCATCAGCAGCAAGGGGGGGTGGTGACTGCCTGCAGAAGCTGGTGGTGGCTTTGGTGGCGGCCAATCTCGGGGTGGGAGGGCATGTGTCCCTCCCTCCCCCCCGTGTCCTCCCTATGCATTGCCTATGCTTTCAGGTAATTTTTACTTTTTCAGTACAAAAAGCTACCCCAATACCAGATCAAACCCCCAACAGGCACCCCTGTGAATACAAGTGTGGGAGCTCTTGCCAGTTTTCAGATGTGGTACCTACCTGCGAGTCGGTAAGATCTGCAGAGCCGAAGCAAGATTGAATAAAGGGGTAGAGAGTCAATGAGGTCCACTAGCAGATGGATCAGGCCTTGCACAACCACCACCAGCAGGCGGAGCTATAAAGAAACAGTTTGACAGGCAGATGCAGATAAGCAAACAGGCTCACACTCTCAAAAACAATTAGTAATGTTGGCAGCCTAAATTTGTGGACACTCAGCTTAAAACACTCTGGATAGAGTTGATTTCCAGTGAGCTCTGAGAATCAGACTCCTTGACAATCTCGGTCTAAATCTGTAATAATAATCAAGGTGCTTGTGGCTGCATAGACTCTGTCCTTCAAAAGCATGAGATATATTCTACTTTTGTGCCATTGAAAATAGTGGAATGCAGTATTAAAGACAGAGGTGAGGAATTAGACTTCCATTTCTAAGAGATTCCATCACTTAACAGCTGTGGTTAACAGATGCAAAACCGTGTCTCCCTCGCAGTGAATAAAACTAGCTTGCTTCTAACTGAAGAATCCCTTCATAAAGCATTTAAACTTCCCCTTATTCAAGCACTCTCCATTATTGTACTACTTTTCATAGTTTTTTCTGTCAAACTTTTTGGAGTCCTGTACTATTTTTATTCTGCTCCTTTCAAATAAGATGTTAAAGTTTTTGTGAAGGTTACAGGCTTTAGTGAGAAACTTTGCATCCAGGCCTTAAATGGTACTGGCTGGATTGGGAAATGAGTCCAACTTTTCCACCAAAGTCTGGCTAAGTAAGTATTAATGAAATAAGTTCATTTCCAGATGGAAAAGTTCTGGATCAAACTAGAAGGGCAGTTACCCCAGGAAGTGGGAGGGAAAGATTAAAAATGACTCCAGGGAAAAGACAGTAGAATAGATTGTCCCAATGACTTTGATTTTCTGGGAATTTCCTTCAGAGAAACACAAGTATGCATCCTGAATTCCATCTGCTTGTTGCATGTCAGCTGTATGAGAACTCTCCCCAGGACAGTCTTATGATTATCGTATTTGTATATGGATGTGAACGGACGAGTGAATATTTCACTTACATAGATAAGATGTGACCATCTCTAAAGGCTGAATCTTACCAGCGTAAACACCAAGTAATACAGTGCAGTGGTGGGTAAAAGAAACAGCAGGATCGTAAATAGCAAAGTGCCAATAAACAACTGGGGAAAAAGAAATAATAAACAAATGTTATTAACAGTACAAGACATGTAAAGATTAGGTAATGTTTAGATTACAGAGACAGGAGGTTCACAACACTCATCCCAACACACTACTTCTAAGTCCATATTGCTGGTGAATAAGACATTTTTACCCTGAGTAAGTAACGTCCCTCAATAATGACCCCTTTTTGTAAGGTTCCATTTCTCAACATGCAATATGGGTAAATACATTGCATCCTATCAGAATATGACTCCCTGATAGACTACTCAAGGGTTCTATTTTTTTTTAGAACCCAACTTTTCAAGTTGATCCAAATCAGCAGAGCTGCAGCAGAAGTCACAGAGCGATACTGATTTGTGCCATCTAAGGATCACATTCTTAATCTGAGATTACATTTTCCAAAACGGGAAATCCAGGGATCACCATTTCTGCAGAAACAGCACATGACCATGGTGTATTGCAAGAGAAAACACCCGGAGAGTCCTTTTTCTAAGGGAGATAAATGCCAGTTTTAAGCATGTAAGCAGAGATTCACCATAAGCCACCCCAACCAACAATTTTTTAATGGCTATTTTCCCCCAGTACCCGCTCCTCTCTCACACCGTGGCTGTTGCTTAGCAAAGCTTTTTTTGTGTTAGTATATCAAAAAGTATTTTAAGGTCTGTGCCTTAAAAAGCTGTTTCCACCCGAGCCAATGACAAACCCCCACTGGTTTCAACAGCTGCAGAATTAGGTTTTTTACATGCCAAACACATTCTTATTTTCCATGTGCAAAGAGAAAGAACCCTAAAATAGTGGAATCTCTCTGACACAGCTGCTATTCCTCTCCTGTCCAGGGGTGGGGAGGTTGTCCCAGTATGACTGTAAGAGGCCTAAGTTTGTCTGTTGCAATTTGCTGAAGATGAGCTGCTTTCAGAAGTTACCAAATAGTGCTTCAGCAGAAATTAAAAAGACAAGGTCAGGAGCTGCATTGAAGCTACTCATCCTGCCAGTCTATGGTATTTATCACTTCACCTGCAATTCTCATCTCAAAGCAACTGAAACTATTAAATAACAAATTCTTATACTTGGTCCCATTTGAGTGATACTTTTTAATGCTATTTTTAAAATAAGGAGAGAACAGATTGGCTCTGTGTAACTTTCCCATTGTTTCTTCAGCACTGCAGTTTGAAAGGTAGATTGCACTGCTTCACAAAATGTGTTCCAACATCCTGGTGAAAAAGCGTGGGCCAACCTCCAACTGGATGTGAAATAAATAGGGTCTTTTAATAGGAACACTAAGAAGCATGTTACTATGGCAACACTGCTGGGCACCACTTACTTGGTACATTATTTAAATTGCCTCCCTCCCCCGTATCTCCTTCCCTACCCATGCTCTGAGGGGCACCAAGTATCTGCAACTCTCATGGAAGTCACTAGGGCTGCTGGCAGGTGCTCAGTACCTCACAGGATCAGGATCTTTTAATATACTGAGAAATGATTACAGCAACCAACAGCCCTGAATCTCATGGCTGTGTTCCAGTGTCTCTGAAATGGGGCTTTGGTCCTGAATCTGAAAAATGTGATCCTGAAATGTCTGCCCTCCCCCCTCTCCCATGTTCCCTCACTGCCAGGCACTAGCCTAAGGACCTGCTGAGAGAACAAAGTCCGGTGCTATCTGAATATAACTATATTGCTTCCAGAGGTAGCCAGGGGGCAATTAGCCCAGCCACAGCACTGCATCAAGGCAGATACACCAATCAGAAGCAGAAGTGGTATAGACAGCTTCTGGTTCTGTAGGTCTGTGGAGTATCCAGGACCGTATACTGGATTTGCAGTATAGAAGAAGAGTCCAAAATTGTGCTTGAGGAGCCAAACAGGCAATGTGCCAAGATCTGTACTTAATTTGGATGCCCTGGAGCAGCCTGTGGACTGCACCCTGACTTTAAATAAGGCAGAATCAGGCCATGCTGCAGACTTTGCAGAGTATAATACAGCACTTGCTTGATGCTTTGCCACTACCTGGTCCAAGTCATAGGAGCAGGAATCCACCCGCTGTCGCAGGACATTCCACTTCTTCCCACGGAATAAGCGCCAGAGAGATGACAACCCATAAATCTTCAGGCAGTAGAGCCTATGCAAAGAGGAGGGACACCACAAATTAGAATCAAGATCTCCTGAGCCACAACACAAGGCAGTTGCTATCACTCTCCATGCTGTCAGCTGAGCAGGGCACTGAATTGCTAAGGTTATGTAAACTGAAGGAAGCAAAAAAAGAAAAAAGAACAATGAAGATAAAACAAAATGCTGAATAACTGCTTGATCAATGGCACCATCCAGCCTGTGAACTGAATGAGGAAGGGGCCCTGTGGGAAAAGAGCAGCATGTGATCATGTAATTAAAGATCATGATAATGCAGATACACAAGGGGGCACACACAACCTTAATTCTGGCATTCCCTTACTTTTGATTGCTTGATGTTGTGACCTCAATTTTCCTTTAATGTAGATTTTCATGTGAAACTGGTTGACTTTGAGAAGCAATGTACACAGCTTGATGTCATTTTCCCATCTTATCTGTGCCTGTCTATATCTAACCCAGTAACTTTGGAATGTTTGATCAGTTCCAGAATTTCAAAGAATGTTCTGGGTATAAATGTCTAGATTTGGGGGAAAACTAGAGAACTGAAATGAGGGATACATGGAGCCCCTACAACTTATTTAGCAAGCCACAGCTTCAAGCATCTCTCTAATTGTTTACAGATCAAGCAATCTGTTGATGGCACCTATTAACATTGCATCTCACCTCTCCTCATCTATTCAATGTTGATACCATGACACTCAGAATAAGCTACCAGACCAATTATGAGGGTGTGGGGAACTCTGCAGTGGGAAGGAGGAATGGGGCCACAGACTCTTGCCTGAGAGGAAGGGAGGTGCAGAGAGATCCCCCTTTACAGTGGAGAGATTGGCAGAAAGAGAATAACCATTGCACCTTTGGCACGTGGGGGAAGTTGGAAGACACAAAGAACCCCAGGTGGGTGGAGGGGATTCCACCTGCCAGGGGAAGAGTTGTAGAGGAGCCATGAAATGGAAGGGGATGGAAAGGCATTGCAGAGGGAGCAGCCTGTGGGCTACAATGGAGGGGTGTCCAGGATTCAGCCTGCAGAAGCTCACAGTGCGCGTGACATCCTAGTTAAAATATATGATCAACTAAAACTCTAAACCACTGTTGTGAAAGTAGTGGTGAATTGTCTTACACAACAAAGGAAGTCAGCTGGAAGGATCACCAACAGCTTAACAAGATTTGCATAAGGCTACCAAAGCAGGGAGGCTCAGTTCAGCACAGTAACCTACAGTGTCCCCAAGACAAGTCTAGCCTTGTGGCCTTTCATCCCAGCTGCTTCAACCAGTGCAGACTTGCCTCTTTCCTCTGACTAATACTACACCTGCCCACTCCCATGCACTCAAGCATGCATGCCTAATGCTGCACCTGCCACACCTTCACAGCCTATTTGTATACACATGCCTGCTTTCATTTGCATGTCAATGTAGTGAATTCACTTTAATATCAGGACTCTGAATTCTGCATTGCCTTGATTAGCAAATGTAACACCAATGCAGTATACAGTTGTTGCAATACCATGCCCCTCCCCGTTGCATGAATTGAGGCTTCTGTGGCAATTCAATAGCTGTGAGAGCTTTATGCTCACTTATCATCTCTCCTTTCCCCCTAAGGAGTGAAGCTGGGCAAGTTTGCTGTGCTTCAGGCATAGGTAGCTATGCTTCTAACAAGGACACCTGAACCCGGCAGACTGCCATTCTAAAGCGCATAAATTAGAAGTGAACAATATAGAAACTGCTTTTATCTTCTCTCCCTCCCCTATCCTGACCTTCTTACTGAAGGGAAAGTCCCTTATCTGCTCTACAACCTGAAAGAGGAACTTCCAGGTAAAAAGCTCTGTGGATGAGATTCCTGCTAGGCAGGATTTCTATGAATCCTAAGCCGTCTGCTTACAGCATTTCTCTATACATCTAAACTACGGTATTCCCTGTGACCTTGACCTGTCTGCACTGAAGTTCACTCAGTTCTACTCAATGTACTTTACTTTTCCCCTCCTCACCACCCCAGGGAGAGGAGAGTGGCATCTCTAGTGATTATTAGGCAGAAGATTTCCTGTTCATCCCCTTAGCATGCTGTCTTCTCTGTCAGGACTGCTATTGCCTGTTGCACTTTATGATCCAAAGGATGCATCAGCAAAAACATGCTTTGTTTTGAATTCTTTTCGCAAGAATAACTCTGACACACTCTATATAGAATGTGACAAACAAGCCTCTCTCTTACACGCCCTTGCCTGCTCAGCTCACACCCGCTTTTCTGTGTCTGTAAAGTGCAGGTGGCCCTCTAGTGGGGCAAGGGGAGTAACACAGAAGCCATTCACCATCATTCAGGCAATCTGAAAGGTGCAACTGAAAATCCAGACAGATTACTCCAAATGCATGCAAATCTCTGCAGCAAGGGAGAGGCAGTGCATTTCTGGAAGCACATTAAAAATGAGGTATTTCCTTGCAACCCCTCACCCCCCAGCCACTGGAACTGGGAAGACGCAGGAAAAGGCAAAAATCAACGACTCTTGGAAAATTTGCACTTTTATTCATCCACTAAGGGTAATTTTACTTTTCTAACCAACTGTTCAGAGTGAATAGACAATTAGCTGTAACACAGTTAATATCCCATAGGGTTCCCATATAGCTCTGGCAGATATCTCTGTATATTCAGACTCAGTCATTTGTAATTGGCCAAATTTATCTGTGGTTTAAGACTGTTAAAGTCAATAGGATCACACCAAGGACTAACTGGGTGCAACATGATTTTGGGGATGGGCATATCTGATGAAGCAAACAAATCAAATTCACCCACCTGGCTCCATAGACATAGAAGCAGTAGATATGGAAGGTCAGGAGTGCAATTATGTCGGAGAGGATGGAAAGAGCCACAGTCAAGCCTAGACAAGCTGACAGGCCAACATACCAGAGGATCATCTCAATGAAGGGGGACATCAGGTGGATGTAGCCTAGTGGAAATTGGAAAGAATGACACTGTACAAGAGGTATTTCACCACTTGCTGGAGCCTCTAGAGAGAAAATTCTTGATGGCCTAGTCAGCCTCTCCCCCTCCCTGTCCCTCCAAGAATGTTGCTTCAGAGATCAAAGCCAAGATGACATGAAAGTAAAAATGGGAAGTGCTTTTAGATTGCCACCTTCCAATTACAATGACTGGCACTTCCCACCCTTTTAACTCTTAATTCCCTTTCCTCTGGTGTAGCAGGTGTAGAGAGGCTTGGGGACATCCGCTTACTCTATGCAAAGGTGGCCATCTTACTCCCATGTGTGGCTGACATTGTTGGCTAGATTTTCTGTTTGCTATCCATTGGGATAAATTTTTTGGGCACATGGTAATCCTTACTGATACACTTTCATCCAGCTCTCCTACCCCAACAGAAACCATCACAAAGCAGTTGCTACAAAATAATGAAGTCTATGCAATATATTTAGTAGCATGAAACCTCTCTGACCATTATTTAAGGTGGAGCAAAAAACAAGGCTGTGCTTGATTCATTAACAGCCAGTCACAGTTGCTAAGCCCTGTCCTACATGACTATTTCTCACATGCACATATTTCTTTATCACTAGTGAGATTCTATTTCAAGATACAGATGCATTCATGACAAGTTTAAAAAGGCCACTCACTGAAGTCAGCTACAGGATGGATTCTGCATTTCAAGCCCAAAAATAAGATTCCCCACCCCCATCCTGTCCAACTACCCTTTATAGGGCAAAGATGAAGAAGCTAGTGCAAGATCTGGAATCTTCTTTTGGGCACAGGCCATTACTGGTGCCAAATGAATTAATTTCACTGTGCCTTTTAATTTTTGCCAAGTATCAAATCTACACACTTTACTTATTTCACATAGCTTCCCTGTGTGGAACCTGGAACCCAATTTTGGTTTGAGTTCCCAAATCAGAAAGAATCACAAACCAGTATGTCCTTGCAATGACACACTTTGACTTCAGATTTCTAGGACAACACAAGACATTGGGGAGAGAGCTGTGAAAAGGGAGGATGAAAGGTTAAACAAGTGTACTTACTAATCCAAAGGTGAATGTGGTACAGAAAGAACCGTCCCAGCACCTGGTCCAAAGCTCGGTTCATCTTTAAACCAGCTGGCACTCCCATTAGCCATTGCAGCAGGTCCTGGAGCTCTTTAGCGACATGCTGCCAACACAAGATGACAATCTTACAGAGTGCAAAGTGGTTATACTGTACATGCGCAACACTTCAGATGCAACAAAAGCCTTTTCTCATGACTCCTGTACAATCTCTGAGGAAAAATACTGTCTCATGGGTGCAAAAAACCCCTACATTAGCTATATTAGAAACACCATGTGCAGTTTGATGAAGAGCGCCTTTCAGAACTTTTAGATAAACACCACACAGGTGCCCAATTCTCCTGAGTCAGAAATCAGATCACAGACGACACTTCTGACAATACCGTTGCAATGTAGGAGAGCAAACTGGGTGCTTTTCAGTGAAGGCAGTGATACATTTTCACAGATGATCGACTACTCAAGAGTGAGGGGGAAATGTAACTTCTGAGTAAAATTTATGCAAATAAGCTTGGATTTTCAAAAGGAGCTGGAGGCTATAGCTTCATTAACAAAAAGGTATGCTTTTTTTTACCATAAAATAACTAATTCACGTTAGCTATCCCACTGTAAAAAGCACAGCAGAGACAAGGTGCATTAGCTGTATGGCAAGGTAAACAGACAAGGTCATCCACAACCTACAGGGCTGATTTTGCCTAACTACATTGCGGCAAACATTACAAGTCCTTTGCCTCCATGTAGGATTTCCTAGCCAGCTAATTATCTCTTCTAAAAAGCACCTTGATGTCAGTAATTTCAAAGCCTGAGGGAGTCAGGTGCCCAAATCACTTAGACTTCTTTGAAAAACCCAGACACAGGCAAAAACCAGGTACACCCCCGACACCCACACAGAGTAACCGTGAAGTTCACGTGTGAGGAGAATCTAGACTTGGGGCCCAACCTTGATGGATGATGGGTCTGTTCTCTTCTTAATGCATATGCATCATTTCTAGAAATGCTAAAGTCACAAATTCTCTGCCCAGAGAAAAATCTGTATTTATTAATCAACAGTTGGGGGATCATTTGTGAAATAACTTTCTACACATAATAGACACACAATATGTTTAGTTTAGTGGCACAGTTCCAAGCTACATTTTCAATATGAGCAAAATTTCCTTTCACAATAGGATAGTCTGTACATCACATTGATTTTTTAGTTTGCTGGTCAATTAAAGATCCCACCTTGTGACCTTGGAAGATCTGAAATCCTGTATATAAATACATAATTCATTTTTATAGAAAAATATCTCAATGCAAGAGGTAGGCCATAGTCAATTCCCACAAATTCTTTTGAGGAAGTATTTTGCAAGACA